ACGGTTCCGTGATTTTTTTTTTTCACTCTTTCCTTGTTCGCATGTGTATGTTTTTTTTCCCTTTCTTCCCTTGTGAATGTGTGTAAGCAAATGGTGACACCAGCTAATTTGAGTGCAAAAGAACTGCATATTTCTTTACTATGCAATATGATGTTAAATTAATCTTAGTTGACAAAAATATTTGCATCCTATGAAAAACAGCCACTGATCTGTGTTACATTGTTGGTTAGTAGTTATGTTCATTGATCCTTACACTTTCATTTGTCTTCTGTTAGGTTCTACGTGGAGATAATAGTGCTCTAGCAAATGATATCCGGAAGGAAATGAAGGTAAAAATTTTGCAAGCCTACAAAAGTAATTTCTGGCGTATATAAATTCTGTTTGCGACTTCACATTGTTGATGACTTGATATCACAATTATCTGATTAGTAATGCATCTTTAAATATCTTTTGGGTTACATAATGATAATCAATTCAACATTCACTTAAACTCGCTATAATGCTTAACACAGAGACCAATGAACTTTGTTTGGATCTTGATCTTAAGTGTTTTTTTCAGCTAAATTGCTTCATGGATGGCATTTATTCCTTTTGAATTGATTGATGCATATTGACATCATATTTTTTCCTAGTTTACGTATTTGTATATCAATGAAAGAATTCTTGAAACTCATAATGAGGACTGCATCTATGTTTCTTTATTGTCTTAAGTGCCATTTTGATGTGATATAACTGCCAATTGACCAATTGCTGCCTTCATTTTCCATGCAGTGGTTCCAGCATAGATAACAAAACTATTTAGATATTGGAATTCTGGTAGTAGTTAATATTATTTTCATTCCTTTTGTGATAAAGTTTCATGTTATTATTCATTAAGGCGCTAAACGGGAAGTTATTGAAAGAAAAACACAAAGGTATGAGGAGAGACATCCAAAGGGAGCTTCGGGCTCTCGCAAAAGAGGAACGTAAAAGACAGCAGTTAGCTGTATCAGATGTAATTAAAAATGCCGATGTCGTGCTTACAACTTTGACTGGTGCGGTTTCACATAAGCTCAATAATACCGATTTTGATCTGGTGATAATTGACGAAGCGGCTCAAGCACTTGAGGTAGCTTGCTGGATAGCTCTGCTAAAGGTAAATACTGAACTTCGTATGGATCTTCTGTTTTATCGGATCAGATACCAGCACAGTCGTGTTTTATTTTCGAGAAGATTCAGGGCTTTACTACTGTTGTGATACACACCTATACAATATTCCGAATCAGATTTGAATCCTTTTTTGAGTCAATTATTGCTTGCTGAAAAACTAATAATTGTTATTCTAGGGTTCAAGATGTATACTTGCAGGAGATCATCTCCAACTCCCTCCAACGATCCAAAGTGTTGAAGCCGAGAGGAGAGGGTTGGGAAGAACGCTCTTTGAGCGGCTTGCAGATCTCTGTGGAGACGAGGTCAAGGCCATGCTTACTGTCCAGTACCGTATGCATGAGCTTATTATGAACTGGTCATCCGAAGAGCTTTATGATAATAAGGTGCTCGTTTTGTCCATCCACAGCCGCATGATAGCAAAAAGCTTTATTATTCTGGAAAAGAAAATGGCTAACTTAAAATTTCGTGGTAACGCCGCAACTTAATGATGCAGATAACAGCCCATTCAAGTGTTGCTTCACACACGCTTTTCGATCTGGAAAATGTGGTGAAATCTCCTTCGACCGAGGCAACACTCCTACTCGTAGACATTGCCGGGTATTCAGTGCTGTAGCTCTCTGTTCTGCTGATAAGCAGATTCACTTTTCCGGGACAAAATATAAACGAATACCGGGAACAATGTCGATATTACGATATTGTTTTCGATCAGATCAAACGGTACCGAAGGCTCCATGTTGAAAAGAAAAGAAAAGAAGAGATCTGGGACATGTATTCCATAATAACTCTGAATCTTCCCAAAATCATTTCCATTTCAGGTGTGACATGGAAGAGAAGAAAGACGAGGAAGATAGCACTTATAATGAAGGTGAAGCAGAGGTAGCAATGGCACATGCAATGCGGCTCGTCCAGAGCGGAGTTAAACCCTCAGATATCGGAGTCATTACTCCTTACGCCGCTCAGGTTTGTAAAATAACGTCTAGAATTCCCGCAAAGACGGATTCTTTCTGTTGCAACAAGCGAGACAATTCTTTCACGGGCACTTGCAGGTTATGTTGCTTAAGATGCTAAGAAGCAAAGAGGCAAAGCTAAAGGACGTGGAAATCTCAACGGTTGATGGGTTCCAAGGCAGAGAAAAAGAGGCAATTATCATCTCGATGGTCCGATCCAACGCGAAAAAAGAGGTGAACTATGTAACTTTTTTTCCAGAGTATTTCTTCGAACCGATAGAGACGAGAACTCAGCCTTCTTTCTGTCGGGGATCAGGTGGGATTTCTGAGCGACCGTAGGAGGATGAACGTGGCAGTGACTCGGGCGAGAAGACAGTGCTGTCTGGTCTGCGACACTGAGACAGTTAGCGGCGACGCGTTCCTAAAACGTCTGGTCGAGTACTTTGAGGAGCACGGCGAGTATCTGAGCGGATCGGAATACGTCGTCAACCAGTAAGTAAATCTCTGCTCTTTAAGTTTCGGAACAATCGATGGAATGAATACGCATCCTGAAGATATCACCGGTTTGTGTGTCCTGAACTCCACATTTCACTCTGCTTGCTCGTTTGGTGTGTCCGAATTTTAAAATCTCAAACCTGAATCATTTGGATTCGCAATCGAATATTCAAAATTTTTGGGTACACGAACGTTGCACCTGTACTCAGTTTTTTTTTTTTGTCATATTCACATTTTTTGTTGGATGCAGATTGTAGATATATATATATATAAAGACAAAGCACAAGAATAAATATATAAATATATATTACCAATGAACAATAATTTCAATCGTATAGAATTAAAACTCAAACAGTAATAAATATATAAATAAATATATATATACACTCTCATGAAAGGAAAGCGAATAAAACAACATGCGCTTACGTATCTATTAAGAACACAAACGTTGACTCGCTTATCAATGAATCTAGTCAGATTCACGTCCTCCTTCACCCTCGTGTTGTTTATTACCCTAAATTGCGTCTGAATTAATTTTAATAATCTTTAACATGGCATCTTTGCAACAAATGCATGCATGTAAATTCGTAATTAATTTTAAAAGCTAAATCGTCATCCGATTCAACAGCATGAGTCACGTTTTACAAATTGAACCCTAATTAGTAATTATTCGATTATCCGAAAATAAATTAGTTTGGTCGGTCCAAACATTGAATTTATAATGTTTCCCTTTAAATATTTGATGCGCCACACGATACTGACATCGTCCACTGATTGGGATTCGTGACGTTTTATCCATTTGCATTTACCGAATATTTTATTATGACAACATTATTTATTCAATGATCTGGCCATTACAAATATAATATATGTAGTAGTATAACAATAATTTATTGAAAGCATATACTGTCTTTTCTTTACCGTGGGATCTGTCCTGTGGTTATCTATCAAACTAATATTAAAAATCTCAAAGGTTACGTACAACAGTTAAATTCCGACATTTTTTAACATATGATATTATATCTGTTATATGTCAAATGCTATGTGTGCTGATTTGGTGGTGATTTTAATAACTATAAGAGATTATTATAATAGATTAATATGATATGTTATTTAATCGGTTATAGAATATCAATATGATATTTTTCTCCGTTTCTATTGTTCAACAATATGATAAAAACAGTTAAAATTTTAGATATTTTTAATATGTAATATTTTTTTAATGTTGAAATTCCCTCACCTACCTAGTATTTATCAATATAATATTCAGGCATTATTTTTACACGTTTTTCAAAAAACAAAATCAACCACTAGACTTAACAAATTGGAGACAAATAGATCCACAGGCTTCGCGCCACACATCCACATTTGCTTTGTCGTTTTATTAAGAATAAGTTGTGATACGACGCTCCATCACCTTCTCTATTTTTTTTTTCACGTCGGCTGCTTCTATTCTAAGGTGCGCCTAAAGTGCGCATGGACATGTCGTACGCATCCCCAAGCGCTAGAGATTTGACGTCACTAGCCGCCGGATTTTCGCCGCCGTCGTGTTCTTCTCCGTCGAGTCAGACCCGTCCCGTCAAGGTCATCCCTCTTCAGCATCCCGATGCGACGTCCTATCGTGCCGGTTCGCCGTCGATCCCTTTCGATATCTTCTCCGGTGTGACGGCGAAGATCAAACGCATGAGTTTGGTCGATTGGATGGATTTGCTTTTCCCTTGCTGCCGTTGGATTCGAACTTATCGATGGGGCGAGTATTTCAAGCTCGATCTCATGGCGGGAATCACCGTCGGTGTAATGCTCGTTCCGCAGGTAATCTTGATAGATTCTGATGAGATTTTCATGGTCTTGGGCTTACGGGGAAAATAAACTGAAAATTTCTGGTTTCAAAATCTCTTCGCCGGGAAACAGAGGTTTTCCAGACGATTGTGTTGCAATTACTTAATGGACAAAAGCGTTTATCTGTTCTTCCTGTTGAATCTCTTGATCATATTTTCGATTTTGGATTTTTGTTGGGTCAAGCTCAAAACAGCTGATTGATAAACAGCTTTTTTTTGTAAAATTCTCAATGTTCATAAATCTGGAGTTAATTGATGCCTCATGGTCGTCGTGGAGAACGAGTCAAAGCAACTGTCGATATCTGTGTTCATTATTATGGGAAACTACAATTTGTTGAGTAGCTTTTGATGGATTTGACCAGGCAATGTCGTATGCAAAACTAGCTGGGCTTCAACCGATATACGGCCTATGTGAGTTTAGTACATTGAGACACATACTTATCCGAATCCGTGAACTGACATCGAATCCTGATCCGTGTCTGATTCTGTTAACTTTGGGACTGTTGTTGCAGATTCTTCATTTGTGCCTGTATTCGTGTACGCCATATTCGGCTCATCTCGTCAGCTTGCAGTTGGTCCTGTAGCACTGGTTTCTCTTCTCGTCTCCAACGCTCTGGGTGGAATCGTTGATCCCTCAGATGAGTTGTATACCGAACTCGCAATTTTATTGGCTCTTCTTGTTGGAATCTTGGAATGCATAATGGGTCTCTTTAGGTAATGATAATATTCTCTATGCGCATAGAGACGAGATAAGAAGTTAGTGCTGTGTTACCAATGAGTCGTTCTTTTGTGTTTTGCTCTCAGGCTTGGATGGATTATTCGTTTCATTAGTCACTCGGTCATTTCTGGATTCACCACTGCTTCAGCCATTGTGATTGGATTGTCTCAAGTAAAGTACTTCCTGGGTTATAACGTTGCCCGGAGCAGCAAGATTGTGCCTATAGTAGAGAGCATAATAGCCGGAGCCGATAAGGTGAAACTTTCATTTCGGTTGCACAGATAGAGGAAAAGTGTAGCTTTCCCTGGCTTAGATCTTAAACTGAGATTTACAAGGTTTATGATGGTTTTTCACCTTATCTACAAAGAGAAATATGAATCCTTTTTCAGTACATTTCCGTCGAGTTGGACCCTGAGTGTTTGTAAACGACCATCAAAGCCGTGTCTGTAGTAATAATCTTTATTTCTTTTTTCTTATCAGCTTACAGAGGGTTTTGGATTTGTCACTATAAGTTGATTTACTTCTATGTTAGCTGTTGTATTGGAAATCTGTTTGGTTCAACATGCTTCCTATTTCTACTCGTTCATCCTTTTTTTTTTCTTTTGATGATAGGTGGTTATCTGTTTATTTTTGTAGTTTCAATGGCCTCCTTTCTTGATGGGATCCGGAATTCTCATGATCCTTCAAGTGATGAAGCATGTGGTATGGCCCTGTTTTTACGGTTCTAGTGGGAAAATTTGTGACCTTTCTTTCGGAAATATTATTGTTAAGCTTACGGGAGCTTGATGCAGGGGAAAGCGAGGAAGGAACTTCAGTTCTTACGAGCAGCAGGCCCTCTTACAGGAGTTGTGCTTGGTACAACAATTGCAAAAATATTCCATCCACCTTCCATATCATTGGTAAGATTACCGAAAAACGAAATACTCTTTCAATTACTATTTTTCTCCAACTTTCTTCATTGAAGTTGCATATTCAAGCATATTGTGTCACAGTAATAGCAAAACTGAACTCTTTTCAGGTGGGTGATATTCCGCAGGGCCTACCAACGTTTTCCATCCCGAAAGATTTTAGCCATGTCAAAACTTTGCTTCCGACAACAGCTCTCATTACTGGTGTTGCCATACTGGTAAGGAATTCATGACCATATACTTACATTCCATGGTATTAAGCTTTTTTTTCTTAAATGTATAACATGCAATCCCGACTTCAGGAATCTGTGGGTATTGCTAAAGCTCTAGCTGCAAAGAACAGATACGAGTTGGATTCAAATTCAGAGGTACTTTGCTATACTGTGACGACATTATGTAGGATTCTAGTACTTCTTCAAATATTTAATAGTTTTCTCCTCTAACTTGGCAGTTGTTCGGTCTCGGTGTTGCAAATGTAGTTGGTTCTCTCTTCTCAGGATATCCAGCAACAGGTAGGGTGCTCTTGAGATGTTAAAGATAGATATAATTTCATCTTCTAACATTGATATTGAGGAACGTGTTATTTTTCTCGAATGCATCATTCGTTCAGGGTCTTTTTCCCGGTCAGCTGTTAATAATGAAAGTGAAGCTAAGACCGGCCTCTCAGGCATTATAACAGGAATTATCATCGGATGTTCTCTTCTGTTCCTGACGCCGGTTTTTAAATACATACCACAGGTCTGTCAAATTACACTTTCTAATAAGTTTCATAACAATATTATGATTCATTAGGGGTGTGTGAAACTGGAGTTTTGCTTCTGATCTGAGTGTAACTGTCGATTCTTCTATTGAATTTTACAGTGTGCTCTGGCCGCAATAGTGATCTCTGCTGTTAGTGGCTTGGTAAGCTCAAGTAAACCCATCAGCATAGAAGCTCCCATGAGCGGGTGTTTTTTGGCGATTGAGGGAAGAATTCACGTATGCTTTATGTATGTTTGCTAATGTAGGTGGATTACGAAGAAGCTATTTTCCTTTGGCGTGTGGACAAGAGAGATTTTATTCTTTGGACAATCACCAGCACCGTAACTCTGTTCTTCGGGATTGAGATCGGGGTCCTTGTCGGTGTAAGTACTTACATTTTTATAGTTTGTTGTTAACATCCGACTAACCGAAAAATTCCTATTTTGCTCTCTTTTAGTAACTAAACAAGGCTATCATTGTGCAAAATACAACAATCTATACGATTCTGCAGTTCCCTTAAACGGTCTAATGCAGTTGCAATGCTCGGTTTTTCGTAGGTTGGCTTTTCACTCGCGTTTGTCATCCACGAGTCTGCAAATCCCCATATCGGTAATTGTGTTCTTTAGTAGTATGTCTCTTGTACTGCTAGTCTATATGCATATATCATAGTTATTAGTTAAGGGGTTGGAACCATCTGATTCTATGAACTTAGTTAAGCTTCATTGTCTTGATTTCTTTCCTTTCATACATGTGACAGCTGTCTTGGGCCGTCTTCCCGGAACCACCGTGTATCGGAACACGAAACAGTATCCAGAGGCATATACTTACAACGGGATTGTGATAGTCCGAGTTGATGCCCCCATCTACTTTGCAAACATAAGCTACATCAAGGACAGGTGACAGCTCATTTCTCTTCATCGTGAACAATTATTTGAGATAGTTCCCTTCTGCTATCCATCCACAGAAACTATTCACATCAATGAGTTCTCTCGAGTTGCAGGCTACGGGAATATGAAGCTGCTGTAGACCGATGCACAAAACGGGGACCCGAAGTGGAGAGAATCTACTTCGTTATTTTGGAACTTTCTCGTAAGTTCCCCTCTTTTTCCATTGCTTCTGATTCGGGCTTTTGGGAAAATACTGAAACCCTCAGATAAATGATAACGAGAGCTAATCTTCCTGGTTTCTATTTCAGCTGTTACACACATAGATTCGAGCGCAGTTGAAGCCTTGAAGGACTTGTATCAGGAGTACAAAACTCGGGATATTCAGGTATGCCCATATCATTTATCATCCTTTTCGATGTTTTTGTTTTCGAATTCATTGGTTACTGTTTCATTGTGAGCAGCTTGCGATTTCCAATCCGAACAAAGACGTCCACTTGACGCTGGCAAAATCAGGAATGGTGGAACTCATTGGCAAAGAATGGTACTTTGTGAGAGTACATGATGCCGTACAGGTCTGTCTTCAGAATGTTCAGAGATTGAACCAAACCCCCCGAACCTTTGAATCGTGCTTCTCGAGAAGATTCCGGGGCGCAAAACCCGAGATTTCATCGCCCTATGGCGATCTCGAATCAGGCAGCATAAAGCCATTGGACTCGACCAGTCAGTTGAAGCAGCCACTGTTGCCTCAGGAGCAGTAAGTCATCTGTACATAAACAGCCTAATACGCCCACTTCCTTTTGCCATTTTCAGCAAAATGGGCGATTTAGTTTCTGAGTATTCTGATTCTTTTGGGTATATGATTTGTAATATAGACTATAGTCACTGCCAATGTTCCTTTTTTGTAAAATTGAATGGCAGACAATACATAGTTAATGTGGAAAAGAAAACGAAACCATGTGAATAGTCTCTCTTCAATTCATCACCTCTCTCGTTTGCAAGAGCAAATGATATGTGGAAACACTCGTCTTATTTCAAGATAGGGGCAAGTTTCGGTTTCCTTGTTACCAATACATAGGAATATACCAAAGATGACATAAAGTGGACAGACGCATACAGAGCACAATCGCATTATTGAATAAGCACATAGCTATATGCCATGACACATCTCGTTATAGCCATCACACATTATCTTCTTCGTAGTAGCCGTTGCACAACGCAAACCCGTCCAAGCTTACGCGTTCACCTTGGGCGCCCAACCCGCAATCACGTACTCTTTTGCGGCCTTTGTTTTCTCAAAGGACTCCCGCGAGAACAACGCCTGCAAGACGACGAGATCATATGAACCGATGCCCGAAATAAAGATTTGAAATTTCAATTTACTGTATGACATTTAAGTTCTATGTCCATGAACCCTTTCTGGGCATGTTTAACCTTTTCCATGATCATTCGATCGACAACGACTCAAGCTACCGTCCAGAAGGGCATTCACGCAAAAATCCGTAAGGGTCCACTTTAGTTATGTGGTTGTAAATACTAAACAGTGATCTTTCCCCGACACCACGTGATACTTATGACTGGAAAAGTTCAAAAAAAAAAGGCACTGATATTTCTTAAGGGTCAGTTTCCAAATCGAGACAATCAACTAACGTCTACGGACATTTGCCGAATCTTTTGCATACCACCAAATATGGTTATGATGTGTTGATAAAAAAGGAAAAGAAAAGATTTTCATACACTGTGGAAAGGTAATATCAATTAGGTACCTTCATGTAGTTGCGGACATTGCTCAAGCTTTCAGGAACAGACCAGTTCTTGAAATGGCCGAGAGCAACCTCGAGGTGGTGCAGCTTCGGTGCCAAGCTCAAATCCACTGCAGTCACTTTCTCACCAGCAACATATGGACCCTGTCCCCATGTTCTCGGAAGGATCAGTGAAAATGTTCTTGAGGGACACAAAAGAAAAGCAAAATGGGCAATGCCTCATATTACTAAACAATGATTACATGCGCCTTGAGATGATCATCTAAGGCCTTCAATTCATCGAGCAAGGCCTTCTCAGAGCCATCATTTGCGTCCTTGCTCTTTAGGAACGTCACGAACGAGCCGAAGATCTTAGATCCCCTGCCGTTGTATGAACCGGATTAGTAATCGGTACAAAACTTTTCAGCAAAATGATTTCAAAACGACTCTTTCCAAGTACAGGAAACAGGTTCTTGTAGCACTAGCATCATTTAAGAGCTGCAAAAGCAGAGATACAGACGGGTAGAGATTGGAGCATACACAGAGGCAAGCTCAGGGGGAGTCTTGAGAGAAGGTTCTGGATGCTTCTCCTCGATAATCCCGACAATGACATCGGAATCAGGCACCCATTTGTCCTCGGACTTCATCACCGGAACCTTTCCCTCCGGGTTAACATCCAAGAACCTATAAGCAACCCAAACCCAAGCCATAAGAAGTATTCACGTAATTCAATGAAAACCGACACGGCCAGTACACAACGAACGAGGCAAACAACGAGATCGACATTCCAAGACGTATTCATCGTTTCGCGTAACAAAAACAGCAGAGATCTCAATCCTTTACAAAACGTACCACTTGGGTTTGTCGCTCACGTTGATCAGATGCATCTTGTAAGGAAGATTCTTCTCCTCGAGAGTTAGAAGAACCCTTTGGCTAAATGGACCTGGGAAACACATATCATCAGGAAATTCCGCAAATTTACGGATCAAAATCAACACCCAAATCGTGAAATCGAAACTGGTGTAAATGTAAATCCGATAACGGATGAGTGAGTGAGAGAGAGAGAGAGAGAGAGAGAGAGAGAGAGAGAGAGAGAGAGAGAGGGTACAGTCGCCGAGAACATCCGGAGCACCAACAGCAGCCTTCACGCACACTTCGATAGCCATATTTTGATTCGAGAGATTGGCAGAGACGGAAGAATGATTTTCGGTGTTCCACTCTTTGTGAATTCTCTGATTCTGAGAGGAAACAAAGATGCGTTTTAAAGAAATTCTAGGCTGGTTGGGTTGTCAATGGTCACGCACCACCGTAAATAATTTTAACGTATTTACATCCACGCCCCTTTAAAAAGGAATTTACAATATTTACTCCCTTAGTTAACTATTATTTATCATAGTCCACTACTTCATATTCCAAAAGATATTTCGCTATAAATAGTAATTATAATATTTAGACAAAACAAGCTCTTTAAAAAGATTCATTTTAAAATTCAACTATCTATATCTCCAAATAAAATTTTAATATTTAAAATATATTCTAAAAATTTCTAAACTATTAAAAAATCATTTTTAACTTCCAATCATTGATAAATTTGTTTACAATATAAATTTCTATTATATATTTATTTATATATTTTCAATTAAATGTAAATTATAATATAATAATAATATAAATTGCCAAATTAAAACTCGAATGGTAAATAATAATAATTATAATAGTTTTTCTAATTTTCATAAATATTGATATTTATTTTCATTTATAGATAACTATACTATAATTATATACCGAATATAAAAATTGATGACAATTAAATTGGAAAAGGTATTAAGGTGAAAAAAGAAAACATACTAATAGCGAAAATGATTACAAGTGAAGGGAATTGAAATAAACGATATTAACTTATTTTAGGTTTAGGATGGAGGATGTTTTGGACACATCCTTCCCTTTTTTAGATTGTACGTACCAAAATACGAGATGAAGTGGTGTGTATAAATACCTTTTCATAGAGTATATAATATATTTGATCATTGAAATGAATATTTTTTACTAAAAAAAGGAAAATATCTTAACAATCAACTTATTTTCCTGCCTCCTCCCAACTTTTTTGGATTTATTTAACTCTCTCTTTCTATTAACGAAACATTAATATTTTAAATTGTAATCTGCCATATTGAAACCAAAAGAATATAACCCGAGAAACTAAAACATTAACTATTTTATAGAATTATGAAGTTATAAATGTCTATTATCCAACAAGTAGTGATCCAATGGATGAGAAGTGACAAAATCACCTTTAAAATCTTGGATTCGATTATATTGGTGGAGAATGGTAGAATTTATAGATCAAAATGAACTATATATATAGAGGTTGATCCCGAATTTAGGGAGAATATAATCGGATCGAAAATTTGAAAACCATCCGGCTTATAAAAAAAATATACAAATGCATTTTAATTTGGATATGTTTGAAATCTCCTGACAGAATGGTCTCCGTAGCCTTTCGCATTCTATTGTGTTAACAAAATGCATCCACTATTCTTGGCCTCAACCTAAAACAAAGTAAAATATTTATATTTCCATTAGAAAACCACAACTAATATATTTGTCAATTTTTATCCGTTACTCGAACTCATGTAATTTTGAAACAAAATCAATTATAAAAAAAAACAGCTCTCAAATCTATCCAGAACGTGCGAGATATCTATTAAAATATCAATATTTTTTTTTTAATAATTGAAATCCAACGTTTCTAAGTTGCTGACAGGCACCTGAGGAAGGCTAGTGACGTGGCACTACTTTCTCCACAGATGGAAAATGTGGGACCCTTGACATTTTACCCTTCTGAAGAATCTATCTTTTTGTTAAAAGTGTTCTAGAAGCTCCTTGTCTTTACAGTTTGTTTCCACCAAATTAGAATTTCGGATTTGATTCGACTAATTTCGCATTTGAATAATATTAACTCCAAATATTTTAGATTTGCTTATAATTTGATTCCGACATAGATATTGTAAATGCTTAACTAAGATTGTGCGAATTTTTATAAGTTTTCGTTCGTTCTGATCCATTTAGCATGCCTCAATATTTGGGTTTATACCCTATGATTAATATTATATCTTCATAAAACTGTTTTTCTACATTCCTGTAAATTTAGCTCTCTTTTTTTTTCTTTTTCATTTTACTAATTTTAATTTATCCTTACCATTAAAACCATAAACTATAAAATCCTTAACCCCAACCCCTAAATTCTAGAACCTTAAATCTTATCATATAAATTCTAACCCCTAAACCAAACCCACAATTAAAATTTCCAAATTCTAAATTCTGAACACTTAAATTCAGTGTTTATGTGATATAAGATTTAAAATCGGTTTAAAATGTATAGTTAATTAATAGGGTAATCTTTAGAGATTAGAGTTTAGAATTTGTGATCTAATGTTTAAGATGGAAGGTAAATTATGAATCGGAAAATAGGAACACAAGAGAACATAAAAATAAAATAAAAAATTGACAAGTGGCGGAAAGATATTTAGGAAAAAGTTTTTAGTAGGATATATATATAGTATTATATTCATAAAATATATCAGGTAATTAGTGTTTTAAAATCAGTTATATGGCATGTGGAAAACAGAAATCGATGATTAGATTGATATACACATTATTCAAATAAGGAACGCACTTGCCATATGCTTCTAATATCATCGATTAAATTAACTGCTGATTTCGGTGGAAACAAAAAAGAGTTAGATAAAATTCATAAGTATGTTTTCTTAAAATTTATTTTTGCACGATTTTAGTTTTTTTTTTTTTAATTTGACGTTCATTTAACAAAACTATTCGATTGAAAATTATACCCAAATCCATTTTATAACAAAACTATTCGATTGGGTATTATTCGGTTGGGTTTTGTATAAAATGTCTAACCGAACTCGTATTTTTACCCTTTTATATATGCTTATTATATTTTTTAAAAACTTGACAATCCAAATGGTATACCCTTAAGCCTAAAGTTCAATATATCGACTTAATTGATTGACAATTTGGAATGATGGGAAGAATTGGAACTGTTTCTTCGTGCATTCTTCACGCTCT